CTTGTAAACTCGTGAGATATACCTCAACACTATAAAGATAGAGATTGTCTTGTTTGATTAGTATATAAAATACGTCATTTGATAGTTTGCTAAAGGGTATATGAAAACTAATTTTTTCTCGGACTCGTAAAGGTTAGGTTCACAGTAAACTTCATGCACGTGAATTAACGCGTTAATTTGCTAATCACAATTGACTGGATTCAATCGAAAGGTGTGATAATTTACATGCAAATAATAATAAATAAATAAATAGATTTATATATCATTTGCGAATAACATAATATTTTTGAGGGAATTGGTCAGATTGATCTGAAACGTGTGTTGGTTAAAAAATACTTCGACACGACGACATAGCTTAATCAGCAAATATCTTTTCGTGTTGTTATTTTCCTCTCAAAAATGGTAAATGGTAAATAATATTCAAAATTGCACTTAGCGCGATAACAGTTTTCAGTGTTGTTAAGGGTGAAGAGTTACTTTACACAACACAGATGATCAAATAACTTCGCTTTGATACAATGTAATGTATTCCATTTGTTCACTCTTTTAAAGTAGTGTCCTTTAAGTGTGAAAATGCTGATAATGAACACAAAAAAATCATAACAACCGAAATCAAGTGATACCACCTTGCTATTATTCACTCAGAACCAAATAGTGCAAACATTTATCGCGATACTTGCTATGTAAGAGTATTATGTAAGATACAGCTGATATACTGTAAACCTTCGAGTATTCACGCTTTTTTTACAAATCATCTTGGATATGTATTGATTTCATTGCTTTCTTTAGTGTGTACTTAGTGCATACCAGTATACGTGGAGTGTTAAGTAAACTCATCATAATGCTCGCACGCATTGGTTTCCAGTTTAAAGCTTTTACAAGGGTACGGGGAAAGAGCTAGAGGGGGGGGGGGAGGGAGGGAGAGAGAGAGAGAGAGAGAGAGAGAGAGAGAGAGAGAGAGAGAGAGAGAGAGAGAGAGAGAGAGAGAGAGAGAAAGAGTGAGATATATATATTTATGTTAGAGAGAGAGAGAGATGGAGAGAGAGAGAGAGAAAAGAGTGAGATATATATATATAATATATATGTTAGAGAGAGAGAGAGAGGGAGACAGAGGAAGCTAAGGAGGGAGAGAGGGGGAGAGAAGGGGGAGAGAGAGAGAGAGGGGGAGATCAGGAGGAAGACAGAGAGGGAAAGAGAGACAGAGAGAGATAGAGAGAGAGAAAGAGGGCAATAATTAGAGAGAGAGAGGGGGGGGGGGGGACTGGAGATGATACTCTATTTTATCGAAATCACGTGATGAATAATTTTTGACATAGTACGATTCAATACAAAAATATATTCTTCAAAGTAAGCTTGGTATAAAAAAATCAAACGAAGGTAATATAGTAATGATGTTATTCAATAATGCATGTTAGACTCTTGATTTATCAATCCTTTGAAAAATTTAAACAACCAGCGATTGAAATGATGATTTAATTTCCTTCCTCCTGATACGTGCTAATAATGATTGTAACTCTGTTGTATAATTTTTGACACAGAATCACGATACCGAATAAAGCTCAACCCCACCTAAGCAGAAAATGTAATATATTGTAAGGGGAAATTTGATCCCGTTTTCAGACTCGGTTTCTCCTGGAAACTTTACCGAGCGACGGTCGAATAGGGAACGGATATTGTGCCTGTATCGTTGCTCGATCTTTAAACATGTCTACCTTTTTACACGGTGTACTTAGTAGCAAGTTAATAATAAGAATCATTGTACTGTTCTCGTAACCATGGTTATGGGAATGAGCAAGATTAAAATATTGCTTTTCATCAGGAAGTCATCGCTTCATGACGGTCTTATTCGCTTTATCTTACTCCAACCCACAATACCATATCTTAATGAATGTCATATCTTATAGAAACAATGATTTACCTCTCTACTCTATCCCTATTTATTGTATGATCCTATCATTCTTTATGCTGTATACCCATTATATTTTCTTGTAACTGCATCGGTCTTTACGCTATACGTCACATATTTTTATTGTAACTACTCTGAACTTAATATGTTAAACTTCATATATCCCATTGTATCATTCGTTTTTCGTGTGTGCGTAGGTATTTAGAAGCTTACTTACTGTCGTTTTGGCGTCGTTAATTTTCTTGTCACTAACTCTCCAAAGAGGGTTTTTTTTTGACAGGTTTTTAAAAATAACTTTGAGGGAAGAAATAGATCAAACTTGTTGACAGAAATCGAGGAAACTCCTTAGACCTACTAATTAAAGCCCCGCATTTAATATAAACACGAGATGTGTACGGAACAAAATGGGAAAGAGAGACAGACAGACAGAGGGAGGGAGAGAGAGAGAGAGAGAGAGAGAGAGAGAGAGAGAGAGAGAGAGAGAACAAAAATAGGAAAGAAACGGAGAAGAAGAGAAGACCAAAATTGGTGAAAATGAATGTAGTGAAGGAGAGAAAGCCCATTTTCATCTATAAAAACGAGGTAAATGGAAAGATGGGATGAGAAAAAGCAAGAAAGTATAAACGAAAGCGATAAATCAAGCAAGAAAAAAGGGAGAAAAAGTGAGAGGTAAAGATGAAAAGGGGGAATGGGAGAAAAGAAGATTCGTAAAGGGTGAGGGGAGGGATTTGGCTATACATTATCGCGATCAGTCTGCTAATGGGTTTTCTAATAGATAAGATATTATCTTGACCAGACCAAATAGGATATTGAGTAATTGCAAATAAAGATAGACGGTTATGTTTCTTCACACTGTGTAATTTATACCGGATTTGTGCATTCCCCTGCATAAAAGACCAATCTAGTCTGATATCTCTTGAATCGGAAGTTATCTCTCCAAGTTCTTATCTATAGCTTTCTATTTAATTTGATATAATGAGTTTTAAAAACGGTAACAAATTTAAGGCCGTTTCCGAAAGTTATCGTCACATTAAAAAAAAGGAAATCCCGTTGTCTAGGCTTAAACTGAAATTGACTCATTTACATTATTTAAAAGTAATGCTATTTATGGCTATTTATTCATGAAAAATGGCCTTTTCATGATTCACACCATCGGTCATTATTTTTTCTATTCAATTTTGAATTTATTGACGTAACATGGTTTCAAAAGACTTGTGACATAATAATCTAAAACAGGACAACAACAAAAAAAAACCGAACAACTACGTTTTTTCGTTGTCTACTTTTAAAAGAAGTTTAACGACATGTTACATAAGTCCATAAGCCCATAAACCAGAGGGAAACTGTTCACAATGTTAAATTGTTGATTTGATTTAAACTGACGTTCTTTTTTAATGTCAAACGAGTTAGTAAATCAGATTATGAACTGTCTATATATAACGATGAATAAATTAACACCTTTCTCCCACCACAATATGTCTTATCGCATCTGATCAAAACAGAACCATATCAGCTGTAACATTAAATATCAAATACAAGATATAATTATGCTCTTTGATGAATAACAACTATCAAAAGATTGATTGAATATATTCATTTACTTAAAGGTAAAGACCAGTTATGGTCATTCGATTGCATTGTGAAAGAAACGTTGTGGAATCGATCAGAAAAGGTTGATCATCTAGCATCTAGCATCTGCAAGGTTCTGGAATCATCAAAATGATAAGAAATTTGGCCCATTCTTCGTAAAGTTACAAGCACTATACACAGAAAGATGTATATGGGACTACCCTATATCTCTCACAGACCATGAGAGAAACAAATTTACCAAATATATGAATTAGTAGGCGGTTTCCCGGCAAATTTTTTTATCATCATGTATTCAAAACATATTCTTTCACATGATTGGTTATGAGAGCTTCCATTTCATTTTTTGAAATTGGGGCGTTTCCAATACTGGTCTTTACCTTTAATCAAAGGTGAGTTAAAGAGTGGTTAATCACTTTAGTGACCCGGCGTAGGTAATTGATGGTTGATGCACAGGTACACTCACATGGTTCCGAACCCAGGATTTCTGAGCCATTTCAAGATTACAGTTAAATGTTACATCACAGAATTGTATTAAATACGTAGTTTTCTATCATATCAATCAGTTTATCATACGGATTCATACAGAAGTATATCAAGGTGTAAGCACATCAACATGCTAATCCTAATAGAGAACAATCTTGAAAAGCATGTTATTCTATACAAAATACACTTTTTTATATTATTTTTCCAGTAATACTCTTAATTAATGAAGAATATTCTTCGCTGCATGTCGAGTTAATAACATCCTAGGTACAGCTAGCAGAGACTTCGAATTACGTGTTTTTGTTAAAGAGGATTTGCAAAGGAGGATTAAAGTAAAACGGGTAAAACGGTATCCTCTTAACCCAGTCTTTTCGATGGCATCTTGAAAACAGTGTATTTAAAAGCAACTAAAAATAAAGAAAGGACGAACGAAAGAGAGCAAGTTACAAATACTTGTTCTTGATTGGTTGAAAATGGAAATGCGTACAATTCTTGGAGTTTCGTTGAATCATATTTCTGTTAATGCTTACAATGATATTTATAGCGCAAAACCACTCAATTTGTGATCGACAACCAATTTGAATGTTGAACTAAATAATGAGCTTATTTAACATCAGTTTATATCTTTTTGTAACGATGTTTCTTCTTTAAGACATTTTCTTTCTCTGGCAATGCCCTTGTATTTCGTTTATCCTCAAGAACTGCCTTTCACAATACATAAATAGTAACTGAACTTCAAGATGAACCTGCATGCTGTTAATGATAGAAAATATAAAGTGAATGTTTCACGTTCATACGAGCATGAACATTTGTATAAACAAACACCTTTTAACAATCTGTTGCATTTTCCATAGTATGATTTAAAATCGTGTGAATGCATTTTCTCAAATCTGGAGTTCCATCGTGAGATAGATGAACATTCACTTATGGTCGCAATATTCTGACAATCGCAAACTGCTTCCTCCGCTTTAGATCATCGGGAAAGTATAATGATTCAAAAAGAATACAAAGATGAACTTACCTTTTTGATGTTAAGTGCCATTTTAAACTCATCCTCGTCAATTTGTCTGTCCTCTCCCGCTATTTGACAGAATTGTTTTTCGGCCCATGAAAGCCATTGGGAGTCTTCATCGGCGGGTTGGGCGTTCCCACAAACACTGGAAAACGCCAAACTTGACTTTCTTCTTGCCGTAGCCATCTCCATCATTTATCAGTACAACTTTTCTTCCACGAGATAAAAAATGAGACGTCTTTGTGGTTTTCAATTGATATGATTCACCAGTGACAATTGTCAGGTCTTTTCCCACATCATCGGTGATGTATTGACGTCGAGAAGAAATGAAATATGATTCGTAATCGATTGGTGCGTCTCATTAACCGCTCTTTAATAATCCCGGCCAACTGGTCGTCCGGACGAGATCAAATGTCTGACAAAGTGGTGGTGTCATCCAAAGAAATGAGTTAAACAAAATAGCTTTCTCCGAGGGGGTTCTGGAACATCAGATGAATCTGTTCGATATGATGAAACAAACAGAGAACAAGAAGGAAGAATTAAGACATCGGATATGAAAGTGTGGTATATGTTTTATTCTGTGGTAGTTTGCGTGAAGAGCAAGGTTTGGAATGAGTCGAAGTATTTGCCTGGCTGCTGAGGAAGCAGAGTGTAACAATTACGCGATCAGCGCAGCGGCGTGAGAACGCCTACCTCATTTATTACTGTGGGGGCGTCGTTAGGGAAAAAAAGTGGTTAGCGCACTGCATCCAAAAAATGTTTTTGGAAGACGTCATCGCCATTTACACTCAATCGGTTTTAAAGTCAAAATAACAATAACGGTCAATTGTAAATATCCATTCTTGAACGAAAGTCTTTTGTTGTGTCTATATTAAACATGAATACTACCTGTACACAAAACTCGAAAATAATGTAGAATTCACTACTAATTTAATATTGATAAATGGAAGTTGGAAAACATTTTTTTCTGGCTATCGACAAAATGAGTCAATGACATAGTCGAGCATATGGCTTGGTCAAAATGGTTTATTTATACATCTATCGTTAACAATAAGATATGCGAAACCATTTGCTCGACTTTTAGCTTGGTTTACCCTGAAAGAATCAGATCAGTTAAAAAAATCTATTCCTGGTTGGCTGAAAGGATAATGCAGAATCAATTTAGACTCAAAAGATCTTCCTTCTTAAAAATCAGAAGAAAAACTAATGTTACACAATATGCATCTTAACAACCATGACAACAATGCATTTAGCAAAGCTATCATAGCTCCTTATATTCCATTTATGAACATTCCATGAAGTATGATATTCCAACCGCTGTCTGTTGAATGAAACTGCCGTCTGACGGTGTTTATTTTATTATAAAGACGACGCATATCCAATCGAGAAAAGCAAGCGCTTTAAGACGATCGAGAAGCCTCCGAGATGAGCCGAGAGAAGAGTTTTTGATTACACTGGTAAGAAGAAGTATACCCAGATAGAAGACACCGTCTGAGCTTGGACTATCACTCACTATAAAGTCATGCAAGCTGCCTGCTGAAAAATGGCACACAGCTTACGTTTCACAAGACTGTTTACAACTCGCTTCATTCTCGCCGCGGCGTAAAAGAGGATTTAGATCCCCTTGTTTAAAACCCCCTCTTCCGTGCTGGTAGCTAGCCCGGCCTTACGATCACCCCTCCACGTCTAATATCTAATAAGGATTTGCCCTTAAAATATGGTAAGAGAAGCAATTCATCAGGGAATCAGGCCAGTTGAGAAAACGAGAGGGAGGGAGGGAGAGAGAGGGAAGATGAGAGGAAGAGGGAAAAGAGACGTGGTCTCGTAGAAGTTTACAAACAATAAGACACAATGAGAACGTGAATATACGATGAGTTTAATTGGATTGAACTCCACTACACCAAGCTCGTGTTGAAATGTCATCCGCGATGGCGCTTTATCTAAATTGCTTGACGTTATAATGACCGTTCCTGGCGTCTCATTATAATCGAAAAACGCTTAAACTGGAGTTTACCTACCACCAAAATTACCACTTTAGATTAATATAGTCCATTTTAGTAACAGCTCCCCTTTGGTCTTCATCACGTCTACGTTCCAATCGCAGTCTCGGGTAGGTAGACATTAAGCTGTGACATAAAACTTCATGTGAATGTTTGACGTTAATTATTCTTCCTTAATTTGAATGTTTGTCTTTGGATGGCAAGCGCTACTTCGGGCCATCATTTCTTTAAACAATCCTTCGGCTTCGGCAAACTATGCTATCTCATGAGGAAGTGACGTAGGATGACGAGGGTTATTACCCTGGAGGGGGAAGGCGATAGAAATGAAATGAAATTAATTATTGTATATATTTTTTCTCCCTCTCTCGTGTTCTATCAAAACGATAATATGCAGTGATAATGAGCCAAATAGATAACTATAACCGCATGTTTCATATTGACATTCAAAGTTTTTCTTGTCTGACCAGTTTGTCATGCTGGTGTATAATAAACATTGCTGTTAAGAATCAATATCGGCCTTGTCGTGTTAAGAACATCACCCCACATTCTGTTTCTCGAACCATTAAGGGTGCGAAAGAGTAAAGTACTTTCAATATTATTAGGTTTCTAGCGCTCTACTTCTGAGTAATTGAGTGACCGTGTGTGATTGTACTCTACTTGTGACTTGATTTGCTAATAAAGTACTGAGAAAAGATGTGTACGCTTAGCTCCATTGGAATGCAGGCTAGAGAGGGGTTTATGTTTGTACCTTTCCTTGTCACTTCGGCCCCCGTGTGGATCCACATCAGGTTCCTACCTTTATACAATAAGCTTTAGTAAAGTGTCCCTCCTCCACTCTTGACACACAGAGTCAGGAAGGGGGGGGGGGGAGGTAGAAGGGGCATGTGTAGACATTCATCTCACCATCGAATTTGCACAAGGTTTCCAGAAATGTCATCGCTCCACGTGCTTTCCGCTACTTATTTGTCTGGTGTGCCAACGCCAGGCATTATTTACAGCCACCATACCACTCAAAATGGGAATTTCTTTATATTTGGAGAAGTCGGCCCTTCAATTTCTTGCGTCGAATTTCCAAATTTAAAACTGGAGAGTGGCGAAACGGGAGAAGGTCAGATTTTCTCAAATAGATCGTGACGGTCATTATAGTGGAGGTTGGGAGGTAGTTTGTGCGTGGCTAGGGTAACACATACAAGGGCTTTAACCCGATTTGAGGCGATGACCGTCAGATTAATTACATCAATTAAATCTTACTGATCGTGCTTTTAGAAGCAGTATGTGGCCTTGGTCGTTGATCTTGCTGTAAGCATGTTATATCAAATTACGTTGAGCTCAATATACGTCTAATGAGACGTGTAGTGTGCGTAATGTAGCAGACTATAATAGGTCATCACATCAAAATCCGGTTCTAAACTTAGCAGCCTATCGGCAGTGCACACTTGTGGAGAAGGACAAAAACACTAAAAAGGGTGCTCCTGCATCATGAGGGGTCCTGAAGGATGTCGGCAAGGTGACAGTTTCATTCAGGACCAATAAGTCTGTCAAGCCCTTTGAACAATGACGCCATGTTACATCTCAAGGCATGTCACGTGATGTGATTAGAATCCTAAAAAGAAAAAGACCGCGAAACGGATGCAGAGGTTGAATGCTACTTACTCGATCAAATGAATGAATATTGAATGAATTGCGCTGATATTGCATCTGCTTGCATGGAAAACAAATGAGCTTCGTGTCTTACGAAGATAGTAGAAGAAGGATGAGATAGCTTTGCCAGACAAACGAAAGCGAACGTCCTGGATTGGCGCGTAGGACAAACGGAATTGATTCCCATGGTCATGTTTTGCAGTATTTGAATTATTGGAGAAGCTGTTATCGTAAATATTGCATTTGACCAAAACGACTTTTTCTAATAGAGTCGAATGCAATCTCATCACTCTTAGCTGCGATCGATCAGCAGTAATAGCAATCTAATGCTTAGTGCTGTCAGAATCCAACCTGTCACGTATCTATTATCGAATTGATTAAACTACGTGTACCATTGAAATATTAACGCTAAGGCACTAAATGCGAGCGGGGAGGCAAGCTAATGCTCCCTCCACCGAGACTCGTATTAAAGTCGCCTTAGACTCCTAAAGCTATCACGTGACGTCAACAAATTAAGAGATTTAGATTGTAAATGAAGGAGTGGGATGGGAAAATGTTTGGGCTTTGTGTGCTTTGTTCGGTTAAACGCGGTAAAAATATTTTGGGAAGATTCGGCCTGGCTTGGTAGTAATAAAGTTACTATCGAGGTGTTGGGCCGGAAATTCATCACCATCACCGAAATGACAAATTGGCGAAACCAGGGTATCAATAATGGCGCCTCTATAAAAAAGCGTTGCCATTTAACTTAATTTTTTCCCGAAACTGTCTACGATAAACAGGTCACACCGGCATGAAATTAGAACACGGAGAATTGCAACAGTTCTTTTTCTTTTCTTTCCATGCATTTTGAAAGCCTGATCATTATTGTTGTATTATCCTGTGTTAAACGAGAAAAAGAGAAGCAGAAATTTTGCGATTTGAGTTTGGACAATACAAGGAATCGATTATTAGGCAGTAAAGGGGCAGTAGTAATGTAATTAAGATATGTAACCAATTGGAAGATAATGTCTTGATTCGATCAACGTCTTGCGCATACCAACAGAATAAAACCCCGCAATGCAATTACGGGAAGTCTCGCTCCGATATGCTCCGATATCGATACTTCAAAATCACGGCCTTGCTTTCTTGCTCGGTTGTCTGCACAGGTAGCAGAAAATATCTTTACATATTTGAACACTAAATTGGCTCCTACACGCTTCAATCAACATATTATAAAAGCAGTAGAGTGCCGTTCTAATTTGTTATCCCTCCCTTTCTTTCTCTCTCTCTCTCTCTCTCTCTCTCTGTCACTCTATATACTCCCTCCCTCCTCTTTCGGCTTGTTCAATTCTAATCTCAGCCTCGGACAATTACCACCAGCAGCCGTAGACTACCAGGGGCCTTAACACTGGAGCTCAGAGTTGGGTCTCTATTTCCCGGCAAGGGGATAATACGGTAGGAATTCGACGCGATGGGGCCGGGCCGCTTGTCGCTTCATTTACCCTTTGCTACGACGGCGCGACCGACAATAATGCTTCAAGATCGCACTCCGATTGGACGACGGAGAAGAGAGGAAGGGGAGGAATGAAGAAGGAAAAGGGAAAGCCTGAGACAGAGAC